CCCTTTAAGTACTCTAACTTTACTCTTTTGTAACAACAAAGGCAAAAAAATGTGGTTAGTTATTTTCTAATATAATTAATTTAGTTTTTTTTTTTCAGGATCCCAACCTGATGTTTTGGGACCCCATTGTGGGTCCCGACCTCAACTTTGGGAACAACTGAGCTACAGGATCTCTTAAATAACTGAGTAAACAATAAAAAATCAATCACAAGAGATTTTATCACCAGCTGCCATCAAGAATAAATTATAATCTCATAAATAGAAGCTCAGGAAAAACAGAAAATGTCTTAAAATAATTTAGTTTAGATGCTTCTTGGATTACAACCAATAAGAACATTTAGGCAGTTTAAAAATACATCTTTACTGATGGTAAGATGTAATAATTTAGTTTGTTAAAAGCTGCAGAAACTCCACAAATCCTCCATGTTTAACTCGATCTGTGTCTGCCTCAAAACCACAACCATTTGCAGTTACACAAGACAAGGTCTGTGGAAGTGTTGAATGGTTCAGATCCCAGATTTTTATTAGCATCAATCAGAACCAGTGCTTTTTTCTCTCTGCGTTCAGAAACTGGCCGTTTTGGAAGCTTTTACCTTTCACATCCTCGTCCTCCACGGTGGTGTTGCTGCTGTCCGATGATTCCTGGAGAAACAGAGACAGACGATCAGTTTGTGTTGGAGGTCGGACGGCAGGATTGTGCGGGATACATGAAAAAAAAAGCACATCACAAAATGGGGTTACGACTTTTACTTTACGTTGACAAAAACAGGCCAGTAGAGGCCAAATCCTGACTCATGTCTTCACAAAACTATGAACATCTATTGAATCAAGACACTGATTCCAGCGGTGTTAAACCTTTCTGCATGGACCTTTTTCAGTGAGCATCACACAATATGGATAAATACCAGCTTCTCTTTGAAAAAGGGGCTCTCATCTCTTTTTAAAAACCAGAAAAAAGAACCTAAGTGGAAGAAGCTTATTCAGACATCTGAAAAACTACAGCCTGCAGAAAGGCTTCTCAGAACGACTGGCTGTAATCTTGACAGCAGCAGATTGTTCGGTTATATTTATCCACCTGTCTGTCTGCCTTTCTGTCACCCTTTTTTTTTTTGCAACACTTTCGCCAGAGGAGTTTCGGATTTCCAATTAGCAGATTAAATGGGTCTAAATTCCCCTGCATGTGCAGGAGTGTTGAGAGACTCCATGACCTGATTAGAGGCGTGCACGTGCACCGATAGCATCACGAGCAAAAAAAAAAAGTTGGTTTTTATAGCTTTTAAAAGAGCAGCTGGTGACCTGAGCAGAGAAGTGAGAGGAAAATAAATTTATTTATTTTACTGCAAAGAAACAATAAATATTTAAGGAAATTCTTAGATAGAAATACATATTTTTATTGTTTACTTTTTAACTTTAAAAGTCCTTATTTGGAGAAGAAATGTATTCATGATGTTTTACTGGCTCAAATACCCAGATGAGCTGAACTTTGAGGTAAAGTATGTTCTGTCAAACTACACCAGGACCAGAAAACATAAACACAGCATCGACACAGAGACGTGGAACAAAGTTACAGTAACGTTGAAGGGTTTTTGTGCGTGAATCACAAACCGACGACAACAACAAAAATAAATATTTGGAAGACAACAGATGCCTCGGTCATGCCTGGGTGGGGGGTACCTGACTGCAGACTCATGCAGGAACATGCACAGAGTTTACCAACACCCTGAGTAACGGTACATACACATGTTAAAACTTATTTTAGAAGCAACTCGAGTGTGGAAAAAATAAATATTTTTTTAATTACATCATAGCTCTCAGGCGCAACTGGAGTTTGACTGTCAAATAAAATATCTCATCTCAATAAATCATCAGTTGTTTGCATTTCTGTCAGTTTGAACAAATAAAACAAAACAGAACACGTGACTGGATTATAATGGGAGTTTTAAACTGCTACTTGTTCTTAGTTGGATTATTTTATTTACTTATTTATTTATTTAAAATGTACTGAAGGACTTATTTGATGTTAAACCTGGACTTGTTTAAATGATGGGAAACACATTAACTTAAATAAGTAAAAAGTTGAATGATGTTTTTTCTTCCTTGTGGTCATGTTTATTGTGCAAAGATTGCAAAGATTGTTCAAGCGTATTTTTCTATAGAACAATGAAAATGTAATGAATTATATATTAGCAAACATTCATTGATGAGTAAATCCAATGTTCATTTAAACTGATTGTTAAAATTTTACCTAATTTAGCTTCACGGTACTGGATAATCTGGTGATAATATTTGTAAATATTGCGATGACGATCAGATCAGGTGTGATACGCGTCTTTTTTTTCTTTCCTCCCTTTCTAATCTGTACTTCATAATCTTTGTGACTTTTAGCCTTTTTGGCAATGTCATGTGTCTGGTGTGAGCTTTGCTGCCGTGAGACTCTGTCCTGATAGCTAAATATTGCATTTTCAAAACTCTTCAAATACATTATTAACAATTATTGCACTCCAAACAGTCCTCTGCAATATGAATATTGCGCACACTGATATTGCGATGACAATATATTTGTGATATATTGTACAGCCCTAGCACTATAGTCAACTGGTTGACATTAAAGTGCCTGTGGCATCAAATTTTTGTAATAAAAATGAATGTATTTTTGGAATGATAACACTGATAACATATTGTAAAAAAGAATTCTTGCCGCTGAGATGAACAGTTGTTGAAATATTTGCATGTGAAGTAACAGGAAGTGATGTCAAAGGGAAATGTCTGCATGTAAACAGAGTGTTGCTAAAATGGCTAAACACACAGACTGTAGAGAAGAATCTGATGTTTCTTTAGATTATTTTAATCACATCATAGAGAGATTAGAAAGAGTCCTAGTTCAAATAACATTGTTAAAAAATTAAAAACAAGGAGTTTTCTTTCTCAAAGAGTTCCCCTTTGATGTCACTTCCTGTTTCACTTTAGCTCAGCCAAGGTCAAAAGAAAATGTGCCAGTTATGTGACATAGAGCGTAAAATCACGTGTACTATGCAAAGTTTCTTAAATATAAATTTATTTTCTTTGACTTTCTGTATTTCATGGACATGCATGTCACAGGTACTTTAAAATTGTATCGTGTGCAATTAATGGTCAGAAAAATAGTTAATTAATATTTGCTGTTTCACAATCACTGCAATTAGTGTCACATACAGTGGGGAAAATAAGTATTTAGTCAGTCACCAATTGTGCAAGTTCTCCCACTTAAAAAGATGAGAGAGGCCTGTAATTGACATCATAGGTAGACCTCAACTATGAGAGACAAAATGTGAAAAAAAAATTGAGAAAATCATTTTGTCTGACTTTTAAAGAATTTTTTTGCAAATAATGGTGGAAAATAAGTATTTGGTCAATAACAAAAGTTCATCTCAATACTTTGTTGAATATCCTTTGTTGGCAATGACAGAGGTCAAACGTTTTCTGTAAGTCTTCACAAGGTTGGCACACACTGTTGCTGGTATGTTGGCCCATTCCTCCATGCAGATCTCCTCTAGAGCAGTGATGTTTTGGGGCTGTCGGCGGGCAACACGGACTTTCAAGTCCCTCCAAAGGTTTTCGATGGGGTTGAGATCGGGAGACTGGCTAGGCCACTCCAGGACTTTGAAATGTTTCTTACGAAGCCACTCCTTTGTTGCCCTGGCAGTGTGCTTGGGATCATTGTCATGCTGAAAGACCCAGCCATGTTTCATCTTCATTGCCCTTGCTGATGGAAGGAGGTTTGCACCCAAAATCTCACAATACATGGCCCCATTCATTCTTTCATGTACACGGACCAGTCGTCCTGGTCCCTTTGCAGAGAAACAGCCCCAAAGCATGATGTTGCCACCCCCATGCTTCACAGTTGGTATGGTGTTCTTTGGATGCAACTCCGCATTCACTTTCCTCCAAACACGACGAGTTGTGTTTTTACCAAATAGTTCTACTTTGGTTTCATCTGACCATATGACATTCTCCCAGTACTCTTCTGGAACATCCAAATGCTCTCTAGCAAACTTCAGACGTGCCTGGATATGGACTGGCTTAAGCAGGGGGACACGTCTGGCACTGCAAGATCTGAGTCCCTGGCGTCGTAGTGTGTTGCTGATGGTAGCCTTTGTAACATTGGTCCCAGCTTTCTGCAGGTCATTCACTAGATCCCCCCTTGTGGTTCTGGGATTTTTCCTCACCGTTCTTGTGATCATTTTGACCCCACGGGCTGAGATCTTGCGTGGAGCCCCAGATCGAGGGAGATTAGTTGTGGTCTTGTATGTCTTCCATTTTCTGATTATCGCTCCCACAGTAGATTTCTTCACACCAAGCTGCTTGCCTATTGCAGATTCAGTCTTCCCAGCCTGGTGCAGGTCTACAATTCGGTTTCTGGTGTCCTCCGAAAGCTCTTTCATCTTCACCATAGTGGAGTTTGGAGTGTGACTGTTTGAGGTTGTGGGCAGGTGTCTTTTATACTGTTAATGACTTCCAACAGGTGCCATTAATACAGGTAATGAGTGGGGGAAAGAGGAGCCTCTTAAAAAATAAGTTACAGGTTTGTGACAGCCAGAAATCTTGCTTGTTTGTAGGTGACCAAATACTTATTTTCCACCATTATTTGCAAAAAAATTCTTTAAAAGTCAGACAAAATGATTTTCTCAAATTTTTTTTCACATTTTGTCTCTCATAGTTGAGGTCTACCTATGATGTCAATTACAGGCCTCTCTCATCTTTTTAAATGGGAGAACTTGCACAATTGGTGACTGACTAAATACTTATTTTCCCCACTGTAATGACGTACTTTTGTGAGACACTCGTTTGTTTGAGTCTGTGGTGTTTTGTGTTGCTAAAAATCTGCTGCCATTGTACAAACTGTGGGTTTTAATTCACAACTCATTATTTTAAATAGTTAAAATGAAGAAGTTAGTTTGATTATTTGTCTTAAAACAGTCAAAAACACGAAAAAGCATTTGTCATCTATTAAATGTTATCAACTAAATGCCACAATTAATCATAATGTTTTTGCCAATACTGCCCAACTTTAATTGCCTTGTGTTAAATAATAATTAGTCCAACATGAGGCCTGTTGTGTCACAAGCCCAACGAAGTGCATTAAAACTTGGGGGATAAAGGGATCTATGGGTCAAAGATAAACTAGTAAATACACACAAAACAATGTTTATTATGAAAGAATGACGAATGTACTGCTTTCACAAAATGACATAACAAACCTGGATAATGCTCTTTATGATTTTAAATTAGTTGATTTATGTCCTAATTACAATTTAACAAGTTTTTGTTTGCGTTACTCTTAATTTGAAGAACAATCTTGATTTATCTGACTTCCTGAAAGAAATGTTGTCGGTTTCTATTAATAATAATCAATCTCAGCCTGTATTAATTGATTTGTAGTGAGGAGGAAGTTGATGAAGGGAACTGAGATGTGTAAAAATGTCACTAAACAAGACATCAGACAAAAAAAACTGAGGGTGGCTGTTAGTCTCTGATCAGAAATGTACAAAAACAAACAAAACAGATGATCAGCTGGCCTTTCTGCTGTTAAACTGCTAAGTAATTACCTTTTTGTAAAATAATGTTCTGCAGTGTTACATTTACATCGTGTTTGGTTTTATTAGCAACATTTTAGACTAATAAACCAACAATTTTACATCTAATTCTTTAGCCTAATATTTGCAGAGGTGATTTGGTTTTACAAAGCATCAAATTAAGCTGGACTCAAACTGTAGAGGACACTGACGACATTAACAAGATGAAATCTGAGCCATGTTGTGTTTGTAATCTTACAACATTTAAGGAGTTAAGAGAATATCTAAGGAAACACACAGACAGTAAATCCAGAGTCAAAGGAGCACTCACACAGATGCATGTTAAAAAAAGGATATGAAGGACAGCAGAAGATAAGAAAGAGGAGGAGAATGACATGGAAGGATGAAGAGTGGGGTCAGGACTGGGTGGGGGGGTGAAGAATACCTTTGTCCCGTCCACCGGATTATGGATGACAGTTGTCTGAGGCTCCTGGAGGAAGAGGAGGGGAGGCGGAAGAAAATGGAGGAAAAGTAAGACAGAAAAGGGGAAGAAAGTGAGCAGAATCTGACACAAATGTAGAAAAGGAATGGTTCAAAGTTAAAAAAAAAGAAAAGAAGACAAAGAGAAACATGAGTGCTGGATGGAGAGAAAGTGTTTGTAAAAGGTTGGAGGAGAAGATGGGGTAGAAGACCCCCCTCTGCCCCTCCAATAGAGCCATGGAGTGGGAGGATGAGCTGAAAACTATCATTTAAAGTCACCTCTGTTCCCTGCCAATATACGACTGAATTTATGCACAAAATGTCTGCAGCTTATTAAACAAGAACTTCTGTAACAAAAACATGCATTTCTCCAAATTCATAATATAAATACTCCTTTATAAATACACTTATTAAGCCTAAAGTGCTTGCATCTAAACTTTTACTAAGAGCAAGCCTTTCATTTCTGAACCAGCCAGCAGTGCCTGCAGATCGTCCTGCCCTCTGAGGCAAAAATGCACTGAATCGAGCTAAATGTAAAAACCAAAAGGGACAAATCAGCCAGCTCATAGATATTTATCAAGTGTGCCGTGACATCAATAAACACGAGCCCCGACGTCCTGCAAGGCGCTGGTCAAACCCGGCGCTGGTCAAACCCGGCGGCGATACCCCCAAGGCAAAAACAACTCAACAGACGACGCCGTGGCTGCCGGCGTCCTTTCTGTTTCCCTCTCTAAATATAAACCGACATCTCAGAAGTGGCTGCTGCTTGTTGGGGCTGTGCGCACAAAGAGCATCCTTAAACCCCTAATCTACACTAGATGCAGCTTCGCTCCACTGTGGTCCAATCTCCACAGCAAATATGTATCTACACTGGCTCGCACAGTGGCACAGGGTGGCGGTCAAAATTAAAATTGATCCTATTTTTGCCGAACACCAGAGCTGCGCAGTAGTCACTCTGCAACGCTCAGGTCGCACCAACAGGAAAACGAACAAGCACAACATCCATATTTTCAAAATAATTCACTAAAGGCCGTCTAATGTTGTTGAAATCCCAGCTATATTAATAAATATTTGGATATATTTCTACACAAATGCTGTCAGAATGCACGGTTCTGTTTGGGAAGCAGGTGGCAGCATGTAGCGTGTAGCATGTGTAAACACATGATCGACGTGGATTTTATTTTGAAATCAGAAGTTTCAAAAAGACGAGAGCGATGCGGTTTCAGCTGTTTGGAGTTCGTCTCCTACAGGATTAATTATTTTGCTCGGACTTCTACATTTATCACTGGATTTATTGGGATCTCACATTTCTTGCACACGCTTCTCGGACCTCCTCTGTGCATTACAACGGACCAAACGGCAGCAAACTGCCCACTGCAGCAGAGCGGAACCGTATCTAGTGTAGATTAGGGGTAAGACCCTGTCACACTATAAAAAAAATCAACAGGAAACCTCTTTTAGGTGTGTACATACTGTAATGCTAAGAAATTGATCAAATGTCTAATTTTTATTAATAATTCTGTGGAATTTTAATTTTTTCATAAGTTGGCAAAAGTTGTCTAAAACGTTAAAGGGGAAATATTATGTGTTTCTCAGGCATATATTTAAATACTATACTAATAAAGTATCTATGTCACCTTTAGCTGTTATTAAAATGCTGTTTTTATTTTTAATTGAAAATAAACTTATCTTCTCATCACTTCCTCTTCTAAACACCTTGAAATTGGCCTCTGTCTCTTTAAGAACCACCTTCTGCTTTTGTCTCGCCCACTTCGGTGCAGGGAGGGGGGGCTATGATGCAGTTTACTTGGCATCTGAAAATATGTTTCCTCAAAGGTATTTTTAATCTGAAAAGAGCTTCACTGAGTGAGAACTAATGTTAGGAGCTCCGCAGACAGTTTAAGTTTCACTTTCNATACTATACTAATAAAGTATCTATGTCACCTTTAGCTGTTATTAAAATGCTGTTTTTATGTTTAAATAGAAAATAAACTTATCTTCTCATCACTTCCTCTTCTAGACGCCTTGAAATTGGCCTCTGTCTCTTTAAGAACCACCTTCCGCTTCTGTCCCGTCCTTTTCAGTGCGGGGGGTGGGGTGGGGTGAGCTATGATGCAGTTTACTTGGCATCTGAAAATACATTTCCTCAAAGGTATTTTTAATCTGAAAAGAGCTTCACTGAGTGAGAAGTAGTGTTGAGAGCTCAGCAGACAGTTTCAGTTTCACTTTCAGTTTCACCCGTTGTTACTAATGAGAGCCTACAGGAGTCACGGGGGGGGAGACACACCTCTGCCATGAGGAAGTTTGGCTTAAAGACACCTCCCAGAGGCGTTTCTGGTCCCCACCTGTCGTTTTGCTCCTCAGCATGGCTTCCTAAAAACACTGCAGGATTTCTCAAACATGCATGAATGAGTCAAAACAAGGCTTTGGGCATGATTTTTTTTAACGAGAGTATAACATTATAACCTGATATAAAACTCAAAAAAGTTGATTTTACATGATATTGCCCCTTTAAAGTGTGACAGGACCTTTAATAACGCTAAAAAATCCATTTAAGTTTAAAGTTTTGCTGCTGTTTCAACTCCACTCGGGGCACAGGGAGCCACAAAAAAAAAAGCCCGTTCTTTCATCTTATTTTATGACTATCAAGCACCGTTTCATCCTTTTTATTTTAAAGTCCATCTCACACTGAGAGCACAGCTAGTGGCTTCTGTCAAACACCAGCTCTTGACCTTTGCGTCTCACTCTCAGACAGTTCGTGTTGCTCGATAACTCCGGCTGCTCACACATTTCATTTCCTGTCTCTTTCTACAGCCGGTCAACCGTCTCCACTTCACGTTCAGTAAACCAGAACCCATCAGCGCCCGCCGGCACTCCTCGTCCCCGTCAGGAAGTGACACCTCTGGTGATGACCAATCATTAGCTGCTTCTCTCTGCGATGCTCCTGGTGTTGTCAAGGCAACCATCTCTCAGGGAAACAGGGACCGGTGGCGACTTGGAGGACGACGATGAGTGAGAACAAAGTACCTGGGGTTTTCTCGTTAGAGGGATGCGAGTGCTGATGGCACAGTGTCATCACACTCAAAAACAATGATTTGTTGAATTTACTGAACAAAGTTATGATAACTTTGATAATTTTTAAGCCCCAAGGGGTTTTCTTGAAGTTTTTGCTCAAAATACCATGCTGAAATGTAACTGAGTGTATCTCAGCATTTACAAATCTACTTAAATAATCTTGGTATCAAAATAAAGCGAATACTGGAGAGATTTCATCAGAAGTGTAAGTATTAAAACAGCTGCTGTGGTTTTAGAGATATTGGGGATGGAACATAATTTTAATTTTTTTCACTCTCACCTGAATATGTTTTTCATTAGACAGTATATAACCCATTTAAAACCATAATGATTCAGGCTAAAAACCCTTGGAAACCATAAATCCATTTGTGGACATCACCTGTGCAAAGATTCATGCTGATAAAATTTACTGGAGCAAAGTTACAGAGGTTTTAGAGGCTTTAAAGAAATAATTTTGCATCATGTCATTCTGCACAAGACAGACCATGATGGTACCATTAATAAATGTTAAGAAATCTCAAGTTTTTACGTCCAAAAGTTATTTGTTTTTTCTTACCTGCCTTAAAAGACTTGTTATTGAATGTTTGTTCTTTTGAAAGTTTATCCAAACATTTATTTGTCACCATATATATTATATAAATCAATGAGAAATTATATTTGACTTCAGTTGGATCATATTCACTCAAAATCAAGTGAAAAAAACTTTCAACCCACTTTACAACATATTTTGGTATCTGCTTTAACTTGCTTTACAGAAATAATGTCAAAAATATTTCCTTTACAGATTTTCTTGACTGTATTTAGAGATTTGCAATGATGCCATTTTGTACAGTTTGTTTACTTTCTGATTCAACTGCTTCATGCTTGAACTGTGTTTGGTGAATGTAAAAACAGTTTCCATGAGCTTTTAGCCAAGATACTTGGGTTTATTTTGATACCAAACATGTCCAGATTCAACTGACAGATCACTGTTTTGGATGGGGCTCAATAGTAAATTCAACAAATGATCTTTTTGAGTGATGGGGGGGGTGGGTGGGGTTACAGCTGACCTCACATTACAGCAGCTGAACCAATCACTTCATTCAGACAGGAGTCAAATAAAAGTAGCTTAAATGGATTAAAACAAGTGCACCTTCCTTCACTCGACCCCAACACTTCCAGGTCAGATTGGAGTCCACGCTGACGCTAGTCTGAAAAGTGCTCCAAAACGAAAGAGTTAACGCACCAAATAGCTAACACTAACTAACTCGAGTCCCTGCCAGCAGAGCAGAGATCACAGTCGCCCTCCCACTCTCAGTTCCCTTCAAAGATCAGAGAAAACTGCCTCTTCTACTCTCAGCTTCTGTCCACATTTGCACTGAAACTCTTGAGGGCATGAATGCAACCAACCCATTTAACACGTCAAAAAAAAAAAAAAAAAAGTTAAATACAGCACAAAATAAATAACCTCACACACAAACGGCACAAAGCTTGTCTGTTTTTAAACTCATATGGCTGCACACGTTGCTGTTTATTCTTGGCTCACCAGACTAGAAGACATTATAGATTATTATTACACGCTCAGCTGTGCTACACGTCGCAGTCGTTAAGATCACGAGAGCGGCATCTGGAACTCGGTCGTCACTGATTTTACTGCTGGACCTGATGATGTAAAAAGATCTGATGCCGCTTATAGAAACTGAGGTTTAAAGGAAGAAAAGCTGATTTAAAACCTCAACATCTACAGAACTTCAGACCTGAGATTCCCCTTAACTGTGACTTCTTGGAATAAAAAACATTTTTATTGTTGAGTTTGGACTAAATATTAGGGCTGCAACAACTAATCAATAAAATGGATTATTAAAAATGTTGGCAACAAATTTCATTATGGATTTATTGTGTCGGGTGATTTATGATATTAATTTAATGATTAAGCTTTAAGTTTTAGTTTGCTGACAATGTCTGAGTGAAGACACCCGTTTTAACCTAATACTGCAATAAAAACAAGACATTTAATGAATTATTGTTACAAGAAATGTCAGAACTGAAGGTCTTCTTAACGACACGACACTGTGCGTGGTCAAATATAAAGACTTCACTATAATAGTTCAAACTTTTATTTCAGGTTATCCTCTTCCCTCAAGGAAACATTTTACAAAGCTCCTGGGGAGAAAATATTTAGAGACTGAAGAAATTTATTGGGGTTTGTTTACTACTGACCTTTAAAAAGCACCACACATTTTATAGTCTTTTCTTAGGTGAATAATGATATATTTTTATAAACTGTTGTGTGACTAGTTTTCTGATTAAATTGATGATTGTGTGTACAGACTATAAAATATAGTTACACAGGGCAGGAGGTACTGCTAGATTAGCTACAAGCCTGAATACACATTCAACAGTTCCTGAATGTCAACGAAACATTAGCTGAAACAGGAATTATGTCAAGAGGATTTGACCCCGGAGCAGGACAGTGTTCCCCCCTCAGTGACGTTAAACTTAGTAGGCGGGGTCAGATCTTGAAGAACTTGTTATACGTAACAAAACTTCCTGGACTGGGTTACTGAACGCACAGAGAGAGAATAAAACGTGGTCCAGCCCAGCGCTGTTGTATTTTATAACTCTTTTCACATTCAAACGTTCAAATATTGGTGTATTTTCATGTATTAATGTAAACGAACACGCCTAATTTTCTATTTTCTTTCAAGACATTCAAGGATATAGCACATTCATTTATTTACTGAAGCTATTTGACAAATATTTACTTATTAATGCATTACAATTTAATATTATATCAACATAATTCTCAAATGGCAAACTGTTTTTTGTGTGATTTGTTATGTCAGTCCAAGTTTTCTACTTTGGAAGAAAGAGGTCAAATA